AAAGCGTACGTACTTAGTTTAGGAGAAATTATATGGTAATATTTCGAAAAATACTTAGAGAGAGAGATAAGATTAACAGAATATTCAATAGTTCAGTAATTGATCTGGAATAATTAAAAAACGTTAGTGGCGTTCCCGAGTAAGCACTGGAAAAAAAAAATCAGAAGCATTAGCTCTCTCGAAATACTCTTTCCCAAAATAGAGAACCTTCTCTAATGCAATTGTACAACAGGAATAGCATCCAGTCGTCCACATTGGATATAACGAAATCGACGCAACAGACGAAACACCGGTCGAAGGACTCTGAGAAACGAGAGAATCTTCGAGAGAAAAAGTGTCCAAAATCGCGTTTGAAGAGACGGGATGATCTCTCGAGACGTAAACAAATGATTAGCCAATCAACGACTATCTTGTGACGTAAACACTGTCTCTCAGATACGAGAGACAGTAACGGTTACCAGAATACGGCGCCTGGAATCGAATTCGGACTCATCGAAAAACCTCGAGAAATTTCCGAGGGTAGTTCATCCGGAAAGGTCGGGTCCATCCTTCATCACCCGGCCGTCTCATCGTGGTCTTCGTCGAACCCCTAATGGGTTGTGGGTCCTGTCTCAGTGTCCACAGGGCAAAAAGGGTTTTGAAAAAACCAATTCAGCAATGTAACAAACATTTAATATTTAGATGAACGGACAATTTACAATAAATAGGTTTAAGTAGCTGGTTAGTGCTTGATGTCTCTGAAAACGGGCATCAATCCAGACCAGAACGCCTCTTTTACTTCTGCACTCCTTCGTTTCTATTTCTTCTCTTCTTTCTTCTTAATTTCTTTTCTGTTCTTCGTTTTCCTTGCTTTTCCTTTTATTGTTTTCTTTGACCCAACTGTTCCTTTCCTTTTATCTTCTTCTGATCATCTGGTGTCTGCTGATTGTTTCTGATTCGCTTTCCATCCATTGATTTGCTGGTAACGGGTTTCAGGTTGCAAGCTGAAGATAATAAAGAAAAGAAAACAGCAAAATCGAAACAATTAATTAATTTTTGTACCACGTGTATTAAATTTTTATATTTATTTCCGGTTAAAATTTTTCGAAATTGCTCTAATTAATGGTAGAATAATCAAAACAGTAAGAAATATTTTAAATAATAAAATACAGCGTAAAAATTTGTAAAATCATAAAGTATTTAAAGTTAAAAACAAAATAATTGAGAATTTTGAATAATTAAATAATAATAATAATTTTGAATAATTGAGAAAAAGTGCGTGACTGCTCTAACGTTACTATACAGTAAAAAAAAATATAGAAAGAAAGCATTATATTTATATAGTTAATTCCTTTACACATTCATAACACGCATAATTTATAACATTATTATGATCGATTTGTAAATACTGTATACAATGATACATACATAATATAGGCTATTAAAATCAAACAAAAGATATATCGTATCTTCGGCAATTCTATGATATTGATACTTTGTATTATATGAAGAAATCTTAAGAAATGTCAGTAATAAGAGAATTATTAAATATTTCTTGTACATAGTGGAATTCGATTGAAATTAATAATCCACGGGTTTTCTAGTATTATACTTCATTAATACTACCATAATCACTTAGAAAGCTCATCCATTTACAAAGATCACAAGCAACCTGCAATTTATATTTTTCTTTTCCTTTGACGTTTTCTGTAAGTCTGCCACACATTCTGATGAGATAATTCTGTAAATTATAAATAATTAAAAAATAATATGATGATAATTAATAATAAATTATAAGTTTTATATATATTATAAATGTTTATAGTGGTGGC